AAAATAAAGATATGGGGATAAACTCTGCTTTCACTTGCATCAGTAGGAATCGAGTTTCTTCAACAGAATAGCTATTGATTCATATTGATGCAGCTGGGAGTAGGATTTGTCCTAATGCCCAGAGTTCTTTCTCTCAGTTTTTGAAATGAAATGCTCTCTCCATGCAGGGAACAAACATATGCTTTCATTGTGGATTATTTGAATCTTAGATTAAGAAAAAGAAAACTTAATGGTAAAGCCCTTTTCAGAGCAGAGTGCATGTGGCTGTTCATGTATGTGTCCTCTCTAACACACTCCAACTGCTCATCTTACAAAACCACTGCCAATCCCATTTTATTTTCTTTCTACTTGATCTCCTGCAGAAAGACAGATCCCTTCAGAATGTAAAGGCATAGCATGGAAGAAAGCAAAGGCCTGACAATTTGCATGCAGACAGGGTCTAGTTCTCTTTGAATGGGAGGAAATAAAAGAAAAAAAACATACCTGCCAAAATATCAAACCTCAGAAATGTTCCTGAAGTCCCTTCAGAGGAAAGGAGTTGATTTTGGAGGAGCTGAAAGTAGAAACTGCGAAAAGTTTAGGACCTGCTTCTCTTGAATTGTAGTTACTCTCAGGTCTGACAGGTTGGGATTGTGAGGATATCAACAATGTTTAAGTAAAATATATCTGGATTTGCAGGGTTTATAGAGCTTGGAAAGATAGGTGACTATCACCCCTCTGTGACAGGTGAAGACTCTGTTTAACAAAAAATGTGAAAGAAAAGGTTGCCCAAAGTGAAATAATGCTTAAGGGCAAGCAATAAATTGCAGATTTCCTGATCCTGTAGATTAGGTCCTGTATCATTTAATAATGTTCAAAATGTTTGATAACAATGGATATAACAACAAACTGTTGCCAGGAGCCTGAGTAGAATAGAGAGGTCAAGGGAAGGCCTTGTAAAAGTTTTTTTTTAAGCACTTTGCTTTTTTTTATTCTCATAATTTATCTACAGTCATTCCATTATATGATCATAATTACTTGTCTGACATCTTAGAGACATCGTGGCAGAAGATTATCTCCAGAATGACTGTAAGCCACAGAACAGTAATGTGGCTTTTGAGGGCAGCAATTTTATGGGACAAATCAGCACAAGGCAAATTCTTGAGAAATTTTAAAAATCCTGTTTGGCTCAGTAGCCTTAAATGAAGAGGAGGAGAAGTAAAATACAGACTGAATTCTGAGTTCACTTCATTTTTTATAAATAAAATGGTTCTCAGTTTTCCAAGATATAGTGCCAGCACTTGATGTCTCTTGGAGATTTCAAAAACATTAATTAATGACTGACTTTTCATGTAAAGTTTCTGGGGCAGCTCAGTAAATACCGATACAGAGATGAAAAAAATCTGCACTTAAATGTTAAAATTCTCTTGAGCCCTTTTGGACCATGTAACTTGTATGCTCTGTGTGGCTCTGCAGTCACCTTTTTCCTTGCTGTATGGTTAGGATTTTTTTTCTGTAACTACAAAATAAACTTTAGAGGTGGTCGCTCTAAAGTAAACTTTGTCACATACTTACTGGTTTAGTCAATACCTTTGTATTGTAATGTAGAAAGAAAATCCCCTAGCTGAATGTGTGGGGGAAAGAATGAAAGGTCATGTCCATCATGAGGTGTTAAAGTTTAATAGTAAAGCTTGTCTTCGAGATTTAGAAGGAAGATAGGTCTTGGTAAAAGCTGCTTTTAATGAGTTGTTGTAGTGTAGGAAACTAGGATAGAAGAGATGTTGAAAATAAATCCTAGATTTGCCCCCTGTGTCCATGGTCACTGTTCTTTACTGCAGAATTTTCTTTGTGCTTTACACTACCTTTTTTTTTTTTTTTTCTCTGCCAGGAATCCATAAACTAATTGTTGTTTTTTCATAGTGTCTGGTGCCCTGGAGATATAAAATACCATGAATAAACTGTATCTTGAAGTCTGTGTGTGCAGTTTGGCTTCAATAGCCCTACTTTCTGCATATTGTGTTATATTGTGTTTTATTCAAGTAATTGGAATAAAACTGTTTTCATTACAAGATCCTATGCAGTCCAAATAGGAGTATTAAAAGTTGTGCTTCTGCAAAATTTTTGTTAAAGACTCACAAGGATCTCTGCCCAGGGGTGGTATGAAGGGACCTGGAGTAGGTCTTCCATCAGACCCATGGGGGTTTTTGGTTGGTTTGTTTTTTGTTTTTGTTTTTTTTTTTTTTTAAGGCAAATGTTGGCATTTCTTAGTTGCAACAAAGTGTTCACTACTTTTAGAAAGGGTTATGTTCTCTCGGCTCTGGGAGGGGCTGGCAATGTGCTAAGGGATGAAGGCAGCATCAGTTTGTTCATTTCACTCCTCTCTCCATCAGGCTAAAGGCCACTGGCAGTTTGCAATCCTTTGCTTCCTGAATCTTAGCCCTTTCCCAGTTTGCTCTCTTATCCTTAGCCCGTTAAATAGGTCTTTTTCTTCAAGCCCCAGGAAAGGCAATGGTGAAAGGCATTATCTCCTTTCCCTCTTAGGAGAGATCAGAAACATTTTCTTGTTCTGCGGGGGAGATTAGTTGAGCTTCCCATCATCTTCCCCACTTGCAAGTGGGGAAATCTTTGCCTCATTAAGCCTGTAGGGTTCAATTCACTCTGCTGAATACCTCTTAATCCCTTCCTCTTTAGTGGTGGTGGAGATCTTTTCCATTAGACAAGGTGCAGCTCTTCATCTTACCTGCTCACACTATGGCCTTGACCAAGGTGAACTCTTCTCAGAGCAGCCACCATTTGCAAAAGAAGTTTGATGTATTGATGGTGATTGAAAAAGCTGTATCAGAGGTTGTCTGGGAGGTTGATGACAGGGTAGCACCTTGTGAAACCACAATATCAGTATCCAGGTTACCTGGTCAGTAGATAGTATTTGAGTCTTCGAGGAAAAATTAATCACTTGTTCTTTGCTAATTGCTATGCAGGTAAAGATAATTATATGCTTGCCAGCAAAAGATTCACTAAAACAGTGTTCAGAGATCACTTACTTCACATATTAAAGAAGTGGTAATCTGTGCCAGCAATGCTTTTACCTGAAATAAATCTCTGTTCATTGAAACCTCTCATATTTTTGGGATAGCATTAGAGAAGAAAGGTTGGTTGTTTTCAAATGGCATCTGAGTTCATTTGGGAGCAGCAATTCACTTACCTCATGTTCCAGTGTAAAAATAAAGATAATACTGATGTCTTGAAGGGAAGTCCATCCAAACAAAGCATAAAAGTGCTTGAAACTGCATGTTTCATGCAGTACTTGAAACTGTTCCTATCATGCTTACATTTAGCAGAGTCTAAAATTTACCATTGTAAGGAGAGGAAAACCAAGATACTTACAGTTGCAGTGCTAAACTTCAAGTAATTGAACTACAATTCATTACATTAGCTCTTCAGCTACAGGACTGTTTGCTTTCCTTTCCTAATAACAGTGTTGTATTTGATACCAGGGGATTTGGTGTTAGGAAAACAAATGTCAAAAAAAAAGAAGAGTATTGAAGATACAAGGAAGTTGTGATGTGTATTTTGGTATGAGTAAACTTTGAAATGTAACGTAAAGCAGGAATCAGAAAGGGCCTCTCTGAGAAATTGAAATACATATGGGCATTTTAAGAAAAAGGCATTTTGATACCAGGAGACGGGAGTAAATCCAGGAGAGGAATCTGAGATGGCCCTCAAGTACAAGAGGAGAGGTTTCTTTCTTATTGCTGAGATTTGATAGTGTGAATGAAGTAAAGTTAGGGTCACAGCCCTGAAGGATGGAGTCCTGTGCCCACCAAGCATATATGTAAGGTAGTAACAATAACAGAATTGTCTCACACCCCTTTAGTGTATGTCAGGGTTTTTTTGAAGAAGGTATGTTTGCACACAACATGGCCATCTACTCTCTGTTGTTGTTTCTTCCTTGCTTTTTCTATTAAGACTGTCAACAGAGCTTTGCCAATTTCATAGTATTGATGGCTAGCAAATTGGCTTCCTATGTGATGCATGTTACTTCTGCCTTTCTGCAACAGTTTTGGATCTGTGCAGTACACCTAATATACCTTCCTAATTGTTGACACCAGCATACTGTGCCTCTCCTTGTTGAGTGTTTGAAGATGCATTCCCATTAGCTGTATATTGTACTGTGGCAAGAATTTCTGGCACTGTTTAAATCAGTAGTGTTAAATCCTGATATCTAATGTGAAGATGTTCTGGGCATGTATTTTACAATCTAAGGTAATTGAATATGGTTGTTACTTGAACCGCATGAGGGAAACTGTAGGAGGAAGTGTTGTAGCTAGTACAACGGGCTTTGCCTTCTCTTCTCTTTCAGTCAGTACCTGATGGAAAGTTTTGGGAAAACACTATGTAAGCTGTATTATTGGTTAGGCACTGCTTGGTGTGCGACGTAGAAAAGCAAAAGACTGGCTGCTTCTGTCTTTTAGGTATTTTAGCAATTAGGTTCCCTCAGGTTGTCAAAGTCAGCTAATTAAATTTTTCTCCCTTCTAATTCCATCCATCTTGTAACTGCATTCTACCTGCTGGATCCTACAGTTATTTGTTTTGGGGTGAGGGCTGTTTGTTTCCCAGGCAGAATAACAGAACAAAACAGTTGGTGGGATACAGGCTGCCTGTGGCTGTATTTCAGATAACAAGTGACTAGTAATAATCAGTAGAGATGTTGCTCAAATAACTATTTATCCACATCTCCTGATTTTAGTTGCCTTATTTCTCACCTGTCTTCTGTGATGTTTTACGGGAACAAATGAGTCACTGTCTTCAGCTGAATGCTGTAGAGTGTGAAACACAGTGTTTATATTGAAGCAGAGCCAATGAAATGCGTCCTGACAAAGCTCAAAACGATGCTTCTGTGTATTCTTCAGTGCCATCTACCGGCATAATTGCCCTTTAGAGATTTATAGGCAAAGAACATGCTCCTAATTGCCAGCAATTTAAAAACATTTGTTTCTTTTTTTCTTTTATTTTAGGAGCAAGGCAAGATTGGTGTAGTCTTCAATATTGGCACAGTGGATATCTCTATTAAAGAGGAAAGCACACCTGTAAATGATGGCAAATACCACGTAGTACGCTTTACCAGGAATGGTGGCAATGCCACACTTCAGGTTGACAGCTGGCCAGTGAATGAACACTATCCCACAGGTACATTTTTTTTTTCTTTTTGTTTTTCTCTATAAGTGTATCTGTACCTATAAACTAATGTTTAATAACAACTGGTTGCTACATAAATCTTTGTTACTTCATGTCAAAAATAAATTGACCAGCCTAGTGGTGCGTATTCTGTCTCCCGGAAAATAAACTAGTGGTGCTTTACATCAGAAGAATAAGCCTGCCAACTGTGTGGTATGATGCACATAGATCCTACAATTTCAGAGGCATCCAAGTGAATCCTGATTCTGCATAGTTACAAACTCATACAACAACAAACTTGGTTTTGCTACTTGTGATATTTTCTAAATATTTAAGGGAGAAAATTTTTTCACAGACCTTACAAGAAGGAGAGGTGACTAGTGGCATCCCAGATACTGTGTATATAGATATGGAGTTGAAATGTAAGGAATGTGGAAGATTAAGCAAGTATTTGATCAGACTTTATGCTTGCCTCCTAATTTTTCATCATCTGAATTTCACTTTTTCTTGTAGGTTTCCAAATACAAAAGTTGACATCTAACCATCTAACCAAAACTGACAACTCTTAGTTAACTTTAAGTCAAAATGCAGTGGAACAATTCATTACCTCTTTGTAAATTATAATTCTAAATCCATCAGAAATAGTGAACAACTGGCTCTTGATACACTCTTGAGACTCCTGAGGTCACATGTTTTATCCCAACACTGGCAAATCACAGCCTCGTGATACTTTGTGTTGCTATGCTAAAAGGTCAAACTCACTCCAAGTGAAAAACAGATTGTTGTATATGATGCTGACAGTGCATAAGATAGCTGAGCTATGATGATGTGTGTGGTTATAAAAGGCAGAAAGGGTGCAAGGAAAAAATTTCAGTGTTAACCACATTCTTCTTATTCACATGTTTTTGCCTAAATTCAAGCCGTGATCTTGTTGGTTTCCAGTATAAAGTCTAAGCAACTTTCAGTTCTTCTTTTCGAGGTTGTACAGTACTAACTCACTAACTAACTAGTTGATTAGGAGTTGTTCAAAAGAAACAAGCTCAAATTACAGGAAATACCCTAACTTGATGTTATGTACTAATTTATGTGATGTTACACTAAGGAATTACTCTAAGGGGATGATTTAATCTCTTCCACTCCCTCAGAAAGTGCACAGGAAAGTTTCCTAATGTGAGGAATCTATACTGTGATGCTTTCTATCGCATATTTAACACGACCCTTTGTCAGTATTTTGGTGAAGTTTATGCAGAAGGGTTCACTTCAATTATTAACCTTTTTTCTGTGACAAAAATCTTTTTTAATAATGCCATAACAGACATGTTGAGTTAGATTCTAGCTCTGCTATCTATTGGTTAGAGAGGAAAGTGGGCTAGGAGAGGCCCAGCTGAGGATCTTCTACTTCTGTCATCAATTATTTTGTAAAATACCTCCAATCCAGTTGGCAGCCAATTATAGTCACTAAGAACCCTATGAATAAATTTTCTTCTTACGGTACTTACTGTAGTAAGTCCCTGGTGTAAAGACACAAAATATTCAACTCAATGCTTTAGAGATTTTTTTATTTTTTTTAAAAAGGGAAAATAAATCACACTCAAAGACTACCTCAGTACTTTCTGCTTCTGCCTTGGATAAAGATATTTCTGTGTTTTCACTAGAAGATGTATGGTTTTATGGAATCATCATTAATCTCGTGTTCTGGGCTAGTATTGAGTGTATGCAGTTGTACCCTGAGGAGAAAGGACACCTTTATCTTCCAGACACCTTTTCCGTTCTGTGCATGTATTTCAATTTCTGTCTGTTTGTAGATGATGAATTTTTCAGCCTCTTTCTGTGAAAATAAGGCTTATGGGATCATACTGTGTGTGTCTGCAGGTTTCTCCCTTATATTTTCCCATTTACTTCAAACTGATATTTTAGCTGAATTTAAAAAGGGGCAAAAATCAAAAAAAGTAAAGATCCCACATGGCTACAGAAAAAAGGAAACAAAAAAAGAAACAAAGAAACAAAAAAAAAAAAAAAAAGGGAGAAGGGCAGTGTTGCAGGCCTTCCACAGGAAAGGACTGCAGTTGACCTCCATTCATATTAAATACCAGAATATCCATAAAATACAGCAGCATTATGAATGCCTCAGATTCAGGAAAAGATTCAATGAGCCAATAACTACATAAAACCAATCCCTATTAATCCCATTTTCTGTGCAGTTAATGGTTTAAAAAAAGGACTAAGCAGTAACTTTTGAAATTAAAAATTTGTTGTCTTTCACAGACCAAATTTGTATTATAGTTTCTTGTACTAAGTGCAAGACCAAACCTGTGTTCAGCAGAAATTCAATTCTGTAAAACACTTTGTGGCTGGATGGACCCAGGCTAATCCAGTGTGTTTCAACTGGAGACTGCTGAAACTGCGATTTGTGTCAGACTTGTGTAGTAGTAGATGAGGAATCCTGTACGTTTTGCATAGGATCAGGTCAATTCTGGAAACACACTTATTTGTACAGTCTTAAAAATGTTGTATTTGTAGCACATGCATGCTTGGACACACTGAGTTGTCTGTAAAATGAACAATTTCATGTACACTTGGTTTCCCACACAGTGCTGCAGCCTAATGCTTGTAAATTTTATAAACTAGCTAATTTATCTTCCTTGTCGTCACACATGGTACAATCTTCAGGCAGCAGGGCTGCATTATGAATGGCATTTCCCTGCTCCTCTCTGAGTTTTATTACTTGTAGAAGGATTATACATTCAACTCATAATTACTTATTCAATGAAAAGCACAAATAAAAGTTGGATATTCATTAAATGAACAAAGTCAGAGAATATTGGCTTTCCTTAAAACACAGTCTTCAGTTAAGTTGAAATTAACTGAAACTAGCCCAATGGGACCAAAATAATCCAAAGCTGTACTTTTGAAACTTAAAAAAAAAGACAAGAAGTTAAAGAAAATTAAATAGCGACAGACTTACAGTTTAGACACTAATGTTTGGTTAATATAGCATCCAGTTGCATTTCAGTGACCTGCAACACGAGCTTTATGCTTTCTTGTGAGGACAAGGGATAGAGAGAAATGTTTGGAGGGAATTAGTTTGGAGCTAAGGTTGGGCTAAACTTTGTGACTGAAATAATCCAAATCATTAGGGATGATCTCTCATCATTAGTGTCATTGTAATGCTGCTGGAGTTTCTCTTACTGGACAGTAAGACTGAACAGTGGCCCAGTACAGGTATCTAAGACAAAGTTCCTGAGAACTGGGAGATGGCAATTCATCTGTCATGGTTCGGCCAAAACCACTGAGCTATTTATGATTTATTTGCATTACTTTCTCCCTTTCTGCTCTCTCTCAAGAACACAATAAGGAGATGACTTTTTCCATAGGCAGTACTGATATCTAACTTCTTGATGCTTGATTCATTAAGTTGGTCATCACAATGTGTTTCTCAGTCAAGGTATAAATATCTTGATATGCTCTAAGGGACAGGTACCATTACTACTTCCCTTCTGTTATCTCTCAAGCTTTCATCCTTTTCATCCCAGAACACAGGCTGGGCTTGGATACTGTTATTTTCTTGCTTTTATGGTCTTGGTAAGAGCCTTCTCTATATCTAAATAAATATTTTTAGTGATGAAATTGGAGTAATTTTGGATGAAGAGTTCAGGAGGAGGAAGCATCTGCGTGTTTTTGTTTCAATTAGAATAAACCTATGAAATTTGAGGCAGCTAGAGAAATTTTCAGAATAGTTAAAAATAAATCTGTCTTCACAGAAAACTAGGATGTTTCAGTCCCTAAATTTTCATTAGTTCTTAGACATGAGATTTTTTTTCTCTGTTCACTCACTTTTCTTGCAAAAAATGCTTTGTGTATTGCCGGATTTGTAGTGTCAAAACAAGCCTGATATTCTTGTTCATTCATCCATGCGCTGGCTACAATTTCTACAGTAGAAAAAAAAACCCAAACTAGTTGAAGAGGAGCTGTAGAGTAAGAGTATCCTTGATACCAAAATAAAGTCTAATTGGAGTAATGTTTTAAAGGAGAAGATTAAAGGAAGGAAGGCAAGAGGCGGGAAGGAGTTGTCATTTAAAGAGATGCATGATTTCGCAAGACAGCTGTAGCCTGGATTTTTTAATGCATTTTAAAAATAAGAAATAAGACAGAATTAAACAACTGGATTCTTATCAGGATTCATTAGTTCATCCACACACTACATATTTTATATTTTTTCCCTTTATCATTCTCTTGAGTGATCTCTCAGCCTTCTTGTAGTAGTCTCTGCCCTTTCAAATTACAATAATTTGCATTTCTTTTGCTACTGAAATGAAAGAAAACATAATTCATCCTCTATGCCCCTACTTCATTTGCTCTCTCAAGTACATTTCTGAGAGAAAGTTTGATTTCTGGAAAAGCTGGACAGTTAGCTCTTGACAGCAGAACTGACTACTCTGGCTTGTAGTGTGGTCAGATAAGTGCACACCTATAAATCAAAAAATTGAATCTGAGACCCTGATATCTGTGCTGAGGTTTTCCTTCAGAATAGTTCCAGTTCCAAGGACTGGATGTCTGGATGACTGGACACTTGGGGCATATCTTCTGGTTTAATTTCATTTGAAAGCAATCCAATTTGAACTACATCTTTGGGAGTCTATGTGAGACAGTCTTTGTCTGAAATATTATACTTTCTAGAAACACAGGTTAAAGTGGTAGTGGTTTGGATTCTCCTACTTTTCTAAAATGTGAAAGGCATCAGCTCTCCCTTGCTACAATCTATTTTTTCATTTACTTGGTGGAAAGTTCTGAAGTAGCTTGATTTGTACCAGGCACTTCATGTCTTCCATGTCTTCATGGAAGAAAATTGACTGAGTTCCTAGTTACTTCTTTCAGTAAGTTTTCTAGCAAACTGAAGGAGTACTGTGACTATGGAACTTGGTAGTCTGCTTTGAAACAGGTAATTTCTTGTCCTACTCAAGCCATTTATCACCTTTCTCTGGATATTTTAAGTCTCATCACACAAGTGGCAT